AAAAGGTTGTTCGAAATCTTGACCTCGATAATATATTTCGAGGTGTATCCTATCGTATTCCGCCATCTACCTCGTAGTAACGAGCAAATCGAATCGAATTTAGCAAGTATACGTGTACGCGCGAATTCTAAATCGCGCGTGACATTGGAAAACGTCGATATTTTTCTGAAAAATATAAATACCATCCCACGATAATAGCAGCGAGGTTTCTCTGTCGAGGCAGCAACTATCGTAATAACTATTTCGAGTTAGGTTCTGTCACAGTCTGATAACTAGACGTATCATGCGCGTCGGGCAGCGCGATATCAATATCGAAATATCGCGCTTTACCGGTAAAATTTTATACCTCGTCCAATGGAGTTTCAAAGGATGGAAAGTCCGAATTTTCAAAAGCAGTACGGTATTGTTATCGCGTCGGTTGTATACGATTTTCACGCTCCTAAGAATCGAGCAACTGGTCGAATCCACGGCAACGTTTTTCTTTCGCTCGACAACCCTCGATCGTACGTTGGACTTTTAAGCGCCGATCGGTATCGTCGAGTCGTTGCTATCGACGGTCGTAACAAATTACGCAACCTGATCCAAATCTGATTCCACCACCTGTCGTGGCCATTTACGGTCCAAAGACACCGTCGCAGTTAACCAGGCTTGGCCATGTTTCCTTCGAAAGAAAATAACATTTTTATTTTAGAAATCGTTTTCGAATAATTTCTCGTTCCTGTTAAAACAACGGGATCAGGTAACGAACGAGATCTGACGCGAGAGGTTACTTTATTCGAACGAGCAAACTTCTACTCGATCATCGATAAATCCAGATTCGACGAATTTTTGTAACGTAACCACGCTTGCTCTCGAAATTGTTCTCGCTTCGAACGTTTCCGCGCGCGGGAAAAATCGACCACCCTGTGGCAAACGAAGAGAATCTGCTCTCGGTGTAACAAGCCTGTAGCCAAACACACGTTACTCGAATAACGCGGAATAACAACAGCCTCGTAGTTGAGACTCAACGCCTATCGAATCTCTCCGACCAAAGAAAATATTTTCCTTCGATCGCGTTAGTTCCACGCCGCTACTAACGTTTATCGTCGATAATTCGATCGACGGATGTGCGCTCGAGTGCGATTACCGCTGCAACACCGATGTAGACGGATTTAGCAAATCGTCTCAACGAATCGTTCGTGACAACGGCTGTTATTAATTACCAAGGGAAATTGGCCGAGCGATAGACGATCGCGATAATGGTATAATATGGTATAGCGAGTGGTACGCGCTCCTGTGCTCCCATTAACAAGTATTCCGAGATGCAACGCCGTGACGAGCACGTTAATTAATTAGGTATTCCGATCTGTTCTTATTCCGTTTCCCTGAACCCGTAATAAGACTCGAACCGTTGACTCCGCTCTAGAAATTCGACCATCTTGCCTACCGAACAACTTCCGGCATCTTTTAACTCTACATTACGCCGCCGCTTATTAGTCTCGTTAAGCTTTAGGCTACCTACTGCTAGACTATGCGAGTTTTCAGAACGACGACTCTACCCCGCGTATTTACCTGTTTTTCGAACAAAATTTTACCCAACGCACCGCTCGATATTTCCATAAATACGCGCTGTTTGTCCTTACGTACCAATGTACCACCAATGTTTCTAATATCGCGCGTAACTGTTTGCGATATCGCATAGACGTAGAAAGAGACGTGTAACGGTAACGAACAGCGGCGAACGATCGAAATCGAACAAAGGTTTCGTCTCTCGCGATTTGAAAATCCATTAAAATTTTTTCGCTGGAAATAATTTTGCTTCTCGAGGATTTTATACCGTTTTTCGGTTCCTATTCGGATAAAACTCGTCTAATCGAAGATCCACGTCCTAGACTTTACACGGAAAGAAAGATTCCTACGTGCGCGTACGCGTACGCGTTATTAAAATTGAACTTGATCGACGAGTTATCCAGGTAACTTAAATCGCCTTTCGTAATTTACGGTACGTAGTTTGTTTTAATCGAGAAATCGACTATCCGGCCTGAAACCAAACCGCGCATATCACAGTAACGTCACGTTCCATTTTACGAATATCCTCGAAACGTATAAATTAAACGGAGGAAAGTATAGGTAAAGTTTAGTTGTCAGCGGTAGATACGGAATCATCGAGGCGTAGAAAAATGCGACAACCCAGTTGAGCAGGTGATTACGATTCTCCTTTTACCGTGCGATTAACATCTATCTTATTATTTTAATTGAGAAACGATTCGGATTCGTCTTACGATTTATACAATTCCGATTAATTTCCATTTCTAAATTATAGAAAATTTCATTTCCATAAAGAAATCGACTCTCTCGTTGTATCAACGTCGATGCTCTATTTATCTTTTTAACGCAATTTCGGCGCCGATTTAACGTTCTCAAGCACGAAGCAAAGGGCATAAACGACGAAAGAAACGGGGAAATAACTTTTTTCATCCTTTCGAAGAAGTCGGAAAAATGTCGATTGTGAGATCGTAACGAACGGAGGAAAATTTGAGAAAATTTGAAAAGATCGGCCAAGAAAGAAGATTAAACGCTTCCTCGACTATGCTATCTTCGCGATTTTCCTATAATGTTCGTAATGATACGACGATATATCGTAACAGATGCTTGATAGATATTAGTTTAAAAGGAAGCGGTAAATCCACGAGTGAATTCTCTCGTTAAGCGACCAACCAACGATTCGTTGCCACGATTGTTACAATTTTTCGAAGATACTTCGTATCGTTGCCATTAGGTCCGTTCGACGAACGACTTACTCGTCGATCTTATCGGATCGTAGACCGAGGGAAATAAAGTTCGAGTTTAAGCTAAAGGTTCCGTCGTGCAACGATTCCCTTTCTATCGGCCACTCCGCACTTTCCAACATCTCTGGAAAGAATGTCCGAACGATTCTACCGATAGCAACCTTGATCTTATAGAACGTTCCAAGCAACTATGGCTATTCTCCTCGCTGTTAAATATATACGTGCTATTATCGCAGGGGGAGAGGGAGGGGGGAGACAAGTTGCGAAAGAAACGCGCAGCAAGTTTTCTCGCAACTTTTTCCGCGTTTACGGAAAACTTCGAATCGGTTAGAAGCGAAACGCTCGAAAGTTTCACCGACTTTGGTTACGATATTAACGCGACTAAACGATGAAAACGTTTCTGGTTAGCGACCGTACCTCGAGCACGATAAGCGACGAACACGATCCTACCAGACGCAAACACTTTCGCGAACCGTGCCAAACGCACGCGCTAACTTTCGTATACGTTCGCAGAATCGTTGAAAATATCGTCGACGTTGCCGCGAGAATACTCGTACGCTCTGTCTAAACGTAGGAAAATTCGAATAGAAAGAAGAGCGGTAGGCCGACGATCTCGGTAGGAATTCGTACACCGTTGGTCGACTGGCATCGATAGAACCCATATCGGCGCGAGGACGTACGTTTACTCCGGCCATTGACTCGTAACGGGTTCGGTCTATGGACCCTGGTTTGTCGCGGTTCGTTTAGGCTGCGCAACTTTGGTCTGCTCGTGCGTTATGCTTCTCGATAACCGTTGTATCCCAGTCCTACGTTCCACGTATATATCGGCCGTTCGTCCTTTCCGCGTCTACAGACCCATATTCGGTCGAGCGAGACCGTACGATCGACGAAAAATCGAACGAAACGACCACGTTGTACCGTCGACTAACTCTATGCTGGACGTCTCGGCGATCGTGGTACGGACGGCGAGTGGACGATTCCGCGTGGGAGGATAATTAAACGTTTTCGTAGCGAGCTTCCTTCTCCGTGGAATCGAATTTCAAAGTATCGGATCGGATACGAACGAGCGATCTCGGCAGCCGACCGTGTCCTATACGCCAAAGTACGTGGAAAACGTGGAACAAGAGTTTTTTACTTTTACCGCGCCGAAAAATATACGCGTACTTGATAAATTTTCGATTATTCGCCGCCGTCCAAATCAGCCCGGTTCTACTTTTAAACTTACAAGTGTACGCAAACTTTGTTCTACTTTTTCCACGTTGTTTCGATCGCTGTATTTCGAGTGGACGTAGCGACCCGTTCCAAAGTTGGCGAGCTCGCGCACTGCCGCACCACTCGACGTAATCGCGGGAATACGAGGAATTGCGCGGCGCGAGTTTCGAAATTGCGCACGCACCTTGCTCGCTGGTAGCCACGGGATCGTGTATTCGATCGAGTTCGATATCCCAGTTCGCTTCGTGGGCTTCGAACGCTACTCGTCCGACTTTCCAACGATAAGAACCCAACGTGACATCGTCTTCGTAACTTGCCACTAATTCCGCTTCTCCTTCGTAGCGCTTAGTCGCGTTACTATCAGGGACAAAAAGTAACAGCCGTTTGTCAAATTTTTACGAAAAACTAAAAAAACAATGGATTAATTTAATTTTTGCTTAAATACGAGATACGAGATAACGATCGTCAAAATTTCGAACAAATGCCAGCAAAAAAGGCCGACGTTTAACCATTATAAACGATCGAACAAACGTTTCTTGATCGCCGACACGCGATTTGGTTATTGCACGGAAATCCACGTATTCGATCTCGGTAACGTTTCTTCGTTTCCCAAACTACTCGAAGATCGTTTCTCCAGTCTATCGCTACGCGTACGACTTTCTCGGCCGAATTTACCCCCTCGAAAGGAAAAACGAGTAATCGTTTTAGGCAACCGTTAGAAATTGCGATATATGGAAGACGCGCGAATATATTCGACCGACTGCCAGTTACTACCGAACGTCGACTAGCCGCGTCGAATTTGCCGAATCGTAGTTCAAGCTTATAGGATTTGGAGATGGAAAATTGCGATAGAGAGATTAAGGTTCGTTCGTTAAGGATTACGCGCATTCCACTAAAAAGATTCAAATTTGTTCCGTACGCCTCTCTGTTGTCGTTAATGCATCTCTCGGAACAAAGTTGGTATATTTGTCGGAGAAAAAGAGAGAAAAATCGGGTCTGACGAGATGGCAATATTTTCAGATATACGTCGAACGGTGTTGCTGCTACTCGAAAGCATAATCGCAATCGTGGCAGCAACCTCCAGCTGTCCATGGGCGCAACACGTAGTCGATCTCGAGAGTTCCTGCATCTGCGACTACAACCTGGCCAGGGAACTTTCGGTACAATGTGACATCGTCGATTACGAGCAACTTCTATCCGCTATGCGGCGTCACGTTTCCAAAACCACCATAGACCTATTCTACGTCAACAACAGCACCATAGGAATCTTGAGGAACGATTCGTTCTCATCCGTGAAAATCAACAACATGCAATTATCTGGCTGCCAGATTAAAGGTATCGAGGCGCACGCGTTTAGGGGCCAGGAAAGCTGTTTGAAAAGCATCAATCTGAAAGACAACGAATTGACCGAGATTCCCAGCGAGACGCTGAAAACTCTGAAGAATCTCACGGTACTGGATCTTTCGATGAATAAAATTACGAGGGTGAACGACGACACCTTCGCGGGATTAAAGTTAGTTACGTTGAAACTTTCCGACAACGAAGTTACTTTGGCGCCTGGATCGTTTCGAGGATTGGAGAGGTCGTTGAAAAATTTGAATTTGAAGGGAACCAGGCAGAAGAAGGTTCCCGAAGCGCTTAGAGGTTTAAGGACACTGGCGTTTCTCGACTTGTCGCAGAACAGTATCAGAGAGTTGCCCGGCTCCGCCGGTACCAAAGCTTTCGAGGGATTGGATTCGTTGACCGGTCTGAATCTCGAGAGGAACTTGATACAAAATATCGGATCCGATACGTTTTATGGTATCAAGAATACTTTGAGCTCGTTGAGCTTGTTGAACAATCTTATTCCCGACTTTCCCACGGCTGCCATCAACAGCGTTCAAGACCTAAGGGTGAGTTTCCACGATATTTTCGGGTCTGTAGTCCCGTCGGACAGTAATCCCGACGAACGTCGACCGAGATGAAATTTGCGAAATTTCAATTCGCCGATAGCTTCGTATTACGCGGACGGCAATCGCTTATTTAACTCGATTGTTTACGATTCAAACGTAACGAAGAGCGAGATAAGAAAGCGTGAAGCGAAACTCGGACGTTTGATAGTTCTACGTCAATGACAACGTCGATGGAATAAATCGATTTTTCTATAGTTCTCCGCAAACTACAAACTTCCTCTTCTCTCTACGAGTACAACCGAGTTTTCTCCGTCTATACGCTTCAAACCTAACGAATAACAAACGATAACGTAAAGTAGATGGAATAATTCGAATTTCTTACGATTTTCCAATCTCTGTCCTGATCCAGGTGCTGGATATAGGATTCAATCTGATAACGGAGTTGCCGATAAACGCGTTTCAAAAGAATCCGTCGATAACTTTGCTAGCGATCGATGGAAATCCTTTGTCAACCGTTCCGGAGGAAGCTCTAGCTCGACTAAACGGAACGCTTCGAGGTCTGAGTTTAGGAGGCCGATTTCTGGTCTGTGATTGCAGATTACGGTGGATCGTCGACTGGATAAAAACCAGAGACTTGCAAGTCACTAGTCGGGAACGCAAGCCGCAATTCTGCGGAAGTCCGCAAAACTTGCAAGATAAAAGCTTCTACAACATCGACACAGCAGGTGATATACGATTAATTAACGGTTAACGATCGTTAACGGTAGAACGTTAGTGGTAGCACGTTAGTGATAGCACGTTAGTGGTAGCACGTTAGTGGTAGCACGTTAGTGCTACCGGATAAGTGGAAAAGTATGTGTTTTAACTTCTGCGCGGTGGTTGCTGTGTTATGTCGTGTAATCCCGTAAAATGCCGTATATCCGCCGTTAACCCTTTGCACCGCGAATTTTATTTCGAATTTCGTTTCCAACAGCTCCCAACGCTTTCGAGCGTTTTATTTGAAATTTACCTCGACTAAAAAATAAGACGATTCAAATAAATGGACGAAGAAACAAATTCGCTTGAATATCGGTTTTACTCGCGCTATCGTCGTGTCTTGTAATTTTCAAGCGTATGATATACCTTGAAACAATTTCCAGGATGCGATCTTGGTTTTCTTTCGCACGTTTCACAAAAAAAGGTGGCACTGAAAGAACGTCGGACTCGACGAAGCAGCTCCTGAGATAAAAACTGCCGTCGAGTCATACCCGACACGAAAGTGCAAAGGGTTAAAGGAACCGATACTGTAATTCGAGATAAAGCGATTCGTCAAAAGTTTCCAACGTGACGAGGAAAATATACTCTTTGCCTTTACTTTTGCGAATGGAACGCGTGACGGCAGGTGATTCTACCTCCCTCGGATCGGTGCACATCCACGTGCAACGATAGACGCTATTTTCCCTGCGTCTGGATCCGATATACATGTGCCGCGTATAAGCGCTAATGGGACTTTAACGATCTCCCAAGAGAATGATCGACTCGCGATTCGCGTAACTCCATATTTCGCACTCTTCTTCTTTGCGATCGGCACTGTACGACGAAACAGAGAAAATCATGCTCGAGGTCAATTTTCTGGTTCGCCTTTTTAACGGATCTCCACCGATCCGAACGCGTAGAATCGCCTTTTAAAGCCACGACGAATAACGTGAAAAACCAGACATACGAAATCATGCAATTTGTATGAAAAAATACGCTTCAAAAATATGCTAACCATAACGGTATTCCGATTGTAAGAAATGTTTGTATCTTTATCTCGTTATTTGTTATTATTTTACCTACCGATATATAACGATATATCGCTATATCGCGTCTCGTTTGTTTTCTTATAGATTAGAATTTTTTTTCCACGGTGACCAGCTCGTAGTTTTAGACCAGGTCGGTTTTAGTTTTAGCCGAGACGTCCTCCGTATACTCTATCCAATTATTATTATTATTATTTTTCACAGAAATGACCTGCGAAAGAACTCCAGAGATAATCGGAATCGGAACGGTAGAAAGCGTGGACACGAGAGAACCTACAGGATCCGCTATAGTAGCCAACGGTTACAATCCAACCACTCGACCGTCGATTAACCTACCTACTACCACTGCAACAACTACGACCGTATCAACGACAGCGCTTGTATCTTCCACAACGGAATTGCAAAAAACCGAGACACCATTTTCCACTACACCAAGAACCATCACCAACAGGCCAACCGTTGCGCGAACAGGAAACGTGGTGATAATGAGGACCACACCATCCCCGCCGAAACAAATTCAGGATCAATTGCAGCAACATCAACCAAGACCACCCTTGGTACTTGGTTCGCCACTTTATAAATCAAAATTCACCGACAAAGATATTATCGTCAAGGACGTACTCAGACAAGATAACGCAGTGATTATATACTGGGACACGGAAGCGACGAATATTTTAGGTTTCAAAGTAATTTATAGATTGTTTGGCGACAGTAGTTTCAAGCAGGCACCGCCTTTGGAGGCCAGTGAACGTGAATTCAAAATCAAGAACGTTCCTTCGCAGGTAAAATTATTTTCGCTAGCTTACAGCATTTATTCCTGTAATTTAAAGAGGTTGCCGCAAACGTTGCTTCCACTTTTCAATCATCTCGGTAAATCGATAAAACCACTTCTCCGAAAGCGTTATAAATGCATAGTCGACTAAACGTCTTGTCCTATCTAAACGTATCAAGCACGATACATGTACGTACAAGAGTGCGAAAGTTTATTACTAGGAATGTTAATCGACTATGAATTCGTTAAGGACAACTCGTTAAGGACAAAACGTTGAAACAACGTTTGCAAGCTGCGCAATTATCGAAAAATCATAAGTAAACATTTTAATAATTTACGCATTTTGAAAAACCCGCTTCCTCCTTGTGTATTTGTAACAATAAATTATAGCTGCTCATTATCAAAGTTATCTATATACGTTTTATCTCGCAGGAATGTATCGTAGTGTGCGTAGTATCGTTGGAAGAAACAAACATCACTCCTGCAAACGTGCCCTACAATCAATGCAAGGAGGTAAGAACGGAAAACTCGCCTACGTCCAACATGGATAAAATTACTATCGCTGCGAGTGCAGCCATATGCGCCACTATAGTGGTAGCAGTGATAATATTTATTGTTGCGAATCGGCGAAGGGCCAGAAAACTTCATACTCTTCACAGTATTGATCAGACAAAAATGGGAGGACCCATTACTGGTTTACCTGTGAATTGTTGTTCCAACGTTGGTCCGACACCCAGCCCTGGTGGGCCGTTGTCATCAATGGCGACACTCAGTGCTTATAATGCTCAAAAAGAATGGGATCAAGTATCTGCATACAGTAACAGAAGCATACCAAGGCCAAGGATATTCCCCGTTGATCGACAAGGTATAAGAAAACAGAAAAAGAGAAAGAAGAAAGTTTCAAGAGTATAAATATTAAAGGAACTTGTATATAGAATACTGGAATACTACAGATATATATACTATAGAATACCATTGTAGAAGAAAGATATTCGATTTGTTATAAAAATTTATATATATATATATTTTAGAACAGTCTGTTTCTAGGTTCGATAACTAGAGCTTCTTGCATCGACGATGTCAGATCACAGACAGGACATTACAGCGGAAAGGTATCGACTCGTTCCGTAGTCGATGGACAATCTCAGCACAGTTTCTCTAACACATCGACGAGATACTTTGCAAACAACACTTTGACTTCCAATCTCGCTAACACAAGATCAGGTTAGATTTTCCTGACCAACTTATCCGATACGTAAAACGAATAGACGATTCTTAATGTAATATTTCGTTTTGTCCAGAGTTGAGACAATCTCGACAATCTTTGGCCGCAGCTTCTGACAGAATATCGCGAACGAATTTTTCACCCAGTCACGTGCCACCGCATTCTTCGTCTAGAAGGCAAAGGCCAAGATCGTGTAATCGAACACTGGAGCAAAACCCACCAAGACCAGGTAGCAGATACAGTATAGCCGATTCAACGCACACCCTTAATAATTACGAAGAGAACAATTGGACCGATCATGATATGGACATATACATGGCACGTAATCCAACTACGAGGACTGGTCTTATGCCTCTCTGATTCCACACATTGCATGTGCGCGGTTTTGCTCAAACGTGTTCAGTGACATTCTTTTTCTTCAGACCGCTTGAACTGCTCTCACTCACGTAGTTGTAATATATAACGTGACGTTTCAAAAGGTTCAGAGATTTATAGATAGAATAGCGTTGACATAGTATCAATGTTAAAATAAAGACCTGAGACGTATGTTATTACAAAAATTACCGTGTAATAGATGTATTAACATAGTAACATGGAGGATACGTTACAAACGTGTAGCTTTAAGAAAGTTCATGTTAAGAAATTGCTTGAAGGTGCACAGTTAAAAATATATATACGTGCTATGTGTGCTCGAACAAAACGTTCGATTTCAAACGGTTTTAGCACGCGATCTCTCAACAACAATAAGAAAAAAAAACATAGCACTAAGTGATGAATAAGTCAAGTTTATCGCGTACGTGGTGGATGTGTTTTTATCCAAAGACTGTATTATAAATCAACGTCTGTCAAATTCTGTATTATGTTTAATGTCTTGTGCTTGTTGACGCATGTTCATAAGAAATGTACTGATATTAAAGTATTTCTTAATATATGATATGTTCTGGTAATAAGAGATTTCGCTATTGATAAATATAGAGCAATTTTGTATATTTCTACGTACCGATAATTTTATATTTCAGTATTAGAATAAAATCGAAACTGAATACACATACGATACAATTATGTGTATTACTCTGATATATTTTGTAAAATTAATGCGTACTAATAAATTCTAAATATTAATAGATTAACGGAAACGGCGATATAATTTCTCATTTCTCCATTTTATCACATTGCATAAAACTGCCAGTTCACAATTTCCCTTTACGATAAGGATCCACGTATTTTATTTTTTACGGTGCAATTTTGATCGATAAAACGTGCGGTACTTACCCAGATATAAGAATGTTCCTTTCCCATCGAAATCTGATTTCTTGTACAAACTCGTACCATAATTGTGCCAAGGCTGTCGCTCCACCGAGATAATGCGTACAATGTGCTGCTACGATTGCGAGACGCCACACTAAGCTGTCCATTGCACATGTTTTTACACCTTTCCACTGATCTTCGTCTATGTTACACGTGGTTAAGTCACTGTACGGAGTTTTCTATAATATTAATTCATTCTATTACTTTACGGCAACTATACCTGCTTTTACAACAAATAATCAAAACGCGACAGTTTTAGGGTTAACGATCACAAAACTTCAGCGAGGTTCGCTCATGATCGCCTAACGCGAAATAAAGTAACGTATCTTTGTAAGATTTCATGAAGCGAAGGAAATGATTATATTACATTAATATCGGTATTATATACTACGTTAAGAGTAAACGAGATAAAGAAAGGCTAAAAGATAACTTAACAGATTGTAATCAAACGTTACAAACGCTACAATTTTTCAAACAAGTCGATCTTTCCTAAGAATTATAAAACTGAATCTACAACTTTATTGTACCGACTGATTTGATCGTAAATATTTGATTGTAAATAGTCAATTTAAAAAATGCTTTAGCACCGGAAAAATCTGATCGGTTATCTTAAAATTATCGTATCAAAAGAAAAATGACTTACAGTGTTTTCTTCCGCGTCAGGGAAAAGAAAATAGAGTATTGACAATAATATTTCTTCCGGTATTGGCCCTTCTACGTTTTTATTCTTCTTCGTGGTTGCTTTACTAACTACCGTTGAAATTGTTGGTATCTTAGATTCCGTTAATATGTTAAAAACTGAACTCAATGCTTGATCTTCTTGTTGAGAATAAGTTACAGCATCTCCCAGCAACTCCACTATAGTTTTTTGATTATTACATTGATATAAAAAATCAGTTAGGTATTCTCCGAGTAAACAGGCTGGTGAAGAATCCATCTTTACTTGCACAGACCATTCAGGGGCAGACTGTGGTTCTAAATCTGTAAAACCTTCGCTATCAACTACGACGTTCTCCGACATTTCAGGCCACGTAGTGTACAAATGAAGTTCTCTGCAACGATTCGATCAAACAAATTCTTCATCTCGCAAAGTTAATTATCTTAGTTACTTTTCTGTATATAACATAAAAATCTTACGCAATCGGATCATACGTTGCTCCAAATGGAAGTTTTCCAAGTTCAGCTACACCCAATGTTTCACCTTGCATGAAATCAAAATCTGGCGGTTCTTGAGTCCACGTACTATTGGTCCAGTCTTTCAATAAATACGAAAACCTTACAGATATCATCACTGGGTCGAGCCTTGTTCCACAACCTTCTCCAACTTTCTGTTTAAATAACGCAAGTAGGCCTGAAAATAACATGTACAAACAAACTATTACCCATAGGTATACTAAAGATAAATATAGTTCCAATTGCACAATTGCATAACCGATACAATTACTTTTATACTTTTGTTTTAAGAACTGTATTCGTACCGGTTAGGTATTTGCAGTGCGAAGGAACTTTTTTCAAGTGCACCATATCGAAGTGAGTGCAAATTCCTTTCCCAATGCTAGTTCCAAGATACATTTTCTGCCATGGTTCCTGGACTTGTACTAACGTAGGTATATCACTAAAAATAAGTATATCGTTAAACTTAGAAACATTTTATTTAAATAGCGACACATAAGCAGAATTGGGGGAAAAAAGATCAAAGCTACTCTTTGTAATTCGAAATGTACAGAACGAATAAAAAGTGCATGTGGTGATCGTGATAAATGGATTCGACATGACATTGAAGACAATATGATTCGATATTATTAGTTTCACAATGGATTAGTCGGTGCGACTTATTATTCCATACGAAAAATATTAGGCTATTTATAACAAAAAATCATTAATTCAAGAAACATTTCAATAATTTCTATTTCATCTATCGAATGACATTGGGCGCGTTTCTTTTTATAAAATGACAGAGAATTTGAAATGGATTTGACCATACCGCTTCATGCGTGGTTTTACTGAAAAATTTGTAGAATGAAAAATAGGATAATGAAAATAATGAACATTCCCTAGACTAATAGTTTCCTGGCATAAATAACTTTATACTTCTTTTTGCGTAGAATAACAAAATGTATCAACTAATCCATTAGCAAATATATGATTACATTTATGGAAATGTAGTTGACCTCCGTGCGACATCCATCTGCTAAGAAAGTTAACAAAATCAAACCATGTTTCCTTCGACGGCATCCAATTTTTGCCTACTTACTTTCGTCTGATTACATTCGTTACAATATTCAGAAGATGCAGTAAATACCTATCTAGGTCCCATCTCCTTTCTTGTATTCATCGAAATACGAATTTATATAAAAATCCACACACAAGTTACAACAGATAATTTTTGGTTTCTGTACACAACGACCAATCCATATACAATGGCAATTCTTGTTTTTCATTATAATGTGTTAATATATTGCAAATGTGTACAGATATCCCTGGCATGGCGTGATATTCTTACAACACGGTTTCAGTCTAACACGGTTCGAAAATTAAACTAACGTAAATAAAATTAACATACAATACTTTAAATTAATTATTGATTGTTGTAGTAAACTTATAGTAAAAATATATATACTTTCGTTAACTATTGGAACCTAACCGCCATTTTTGCATTAATTCTTTGTTTCGTATAACACGGTTACGCATGACATGGCATTTTTTTGGGAACCTAACTACCATGTTAAACAGAGTATACCTGTATTACAAAAGTGACACGGCTTGAATAAGTTTTTCAAGAAAAGCGAGAAACTATTTGGAAGCGTATAAAGCAGTTATTGATTGAACATATCGTAACATTGGCAAAAAGAACAGACTCTAAGGAACAATGACCATTTTGATCATTTGATCATTTTGTAACGTGCAGAATTGAATTATTTTGAATTACGTCACTCTTGAAATACACGCGTCACATAATCCCAAGAAAACAGCTTTTCTAATTACCAATTAGCATTGGTCGCTGCAATTGCTAGAGAACTAAGTAAAATCCTAATCTTGGTCTCATCCATCACGGAATCTCTTTTAGTGGACTGTAAAACAAGAAATTCTCTAATACCATAATAGCAAGCTATTTCCAAGTGATTCCCATCGATTCTAGCAAAATCATTTGATGCATTTAACGCATCCTTGTGACATTGTACTTTTTCTTCTTCGCTTTCCTCCAAAAGATTATCTGTATTTTCATCGTCTAATTTTAACTTGTAGTGCTTCAATGTAAATTCCGCATCTGCAATAACGTAAAAGCATCTGGTTGCATCGGTTAAACGAAAAGAAAGTATACGTACATTGAACATTACTTATTTTAATCTTGATAAAGTAATTTTATATATGAACAAACCAGCAAAATGAAGCTTTTCGAAATTTTCTTCCCATGCACAGTTGACAAAGTTTCCAGATTTTAAACAAGGACCAATTTTTGTATTTGGTAATTTCCATTCGTGCATAATTTCTTCCAATCTCGCGATAAACATTTCCCATTCAGAAGCTGTCGTAAAATCATGATGATAAAAGTCTTCGATTTCAATGTTGTTCATTTTTTAAAGTACTACTGTAGATTAAAAAACGTTATTTATTAACGAACCGCTGGGTCCGCGTCAGGTTAAATGTTTGACGTTTATTCGTTATCAACTGAGCTGCAGACTGTTATAAAATAATGTATAGAGCGCGCAACGACGCTTTTCCAAATACCAACAGAGTCAAATGCATTCCAATTGCTTCGAAAACATAGCATACATATACATACGAATAAGTAAAATTATAAAAACACATATACATTATTATTAATATACACACACACTGCTGAAAAATTAAACTTTAATGTTGTGTAATGCACATGGAAATTGTTTATTATATTTCTATAAATTTAATCTGAATTAATGAAAATAGATGAATAAAATAGACATCGTTAAAAGTCAATGATTCAACGAAAGAAAAAAGAATCGATCGAAAAGATTTCAAATTCGAGAATATTTCAAACACATGAATACAATTGTGTACAATTTGGCAAAATAAATTATACAATTTTTAAAATGCGCTATACTTTACCGTATTCCATATTTTCATCCTATGTCGTATACACATATTTCACGTCATATCGAAAATGAATTCGTACAAGTTTTGGATGTACGCAAATTAATAATATCATTTTCAATGAATTTACTTGACTTATTTACAATTTATTTAAATGTAACAATATATACATACACTAGCAATATCAATTTGTTTTTCATCCTGGATAGTCAAATAATTAGTGCATCAGTCAATAACATGATATTAATATTTCGCTAAAAGCTTTGGGTAAATATTCAGAAAAAGAGAGGCATCTCTGATTTCGATAATTTCTTAATATGTTGTCAAGATTATCGTCCCGAGTTTCGTCGGGGATCGCCGTTTAAAAAGTAATCAGAAAGTTGTTATCGAGAAAAGTTTCTGGTGAAATCATCTTATATTTTGATAAAGTAGTGTGAATCCCTCCCTCCGCTGCACAATCACCCAGAAAAAACTCTAACCTGACCTGATGCAAATCTAATCTCCAGGTTAATCAGAAATGATGTATCCTGTCAAGATGAGCATTCTGAAAAACTTATTAATGTACATGTTACCGCCGGTCGGCTTTAACGTCCGAGATATTTGCAAAAAACTTTTATTACACGTACCTTATGAATATTAAATAATTGTGGAGTAAATTCTGCCATAGGCGGTCCCCTAGTGGCGATCACATTCCTATGATATAGCTTAACCTACACAATAAAAGAGAAAAACTAATGGGTTATAAATCGTGTAAAATTTATATTCGTCTGCCAAGGGACGTCCGTCAACGCTAGCGTAGAAATACCTACCATACCGAAAGCACTATATTACGAATAGCACATAATGTATCTAAAACTTTTATATATTAATTTATAATATAGTATTAATTAGAAAATTTATGTGATTATCGAATTATGATAATATATAATATACTATGTTACAATATTATCAAATTCAAATTGCCGATATAATTTTAGTTTGCTGCTCTGATTGTATCTCATACTATGTTTTGCCGTTTGTAATTTAATTCAGCCGATGTACACTCTACTAGCATTGACACAAGAGATAACGTCTCTCAATACGCAGTAGTAATTCGAGCTAGTATTATCATTATCTGCATGTTCACATGCATATATTATATGTTCATATTTATAAACTTTCTGCCTTATATCTCCTTTGTAAAATAAAAAATATACAATATATATATATTATATCCCTATATAGGAGAATGTATTAAATTCTACGAATATTCGTACGTATTACATTAACAGTATTTATATAGATAAACATCTTTTTGTATCTTTTGTGACTTATGTATTTTAACGTTTTTAGTATAACTGGATAAAGATATACGTATTTTCAATTTCGACTAATGTCTTTTACATACATATTTTGTTGTTGTAGATGTCGACGATAGATCGATGGTGTATTCTCAAAGTTAAATTAATCGTAAAAGAAGGATCGCAAGTATCGCATACAATATCACAGCATCCTAAAGTAATATTTATAATATGACGAGGTATTTCAAAGTCTATCTTGAAATTATACAAGGAGCAGTATCTAAAATACTACGATATAATACAAACTTAACTTTAAGATAAACAAAAATTGCCAATTTCAGTATTCCTAAACTCTTAATTTCCAATTTATCTTATAATTTGTACATTTGTAATAAAATATGTCGATTAAGAAATTCACGTAAATTTTCATAAACTAAAGATAACGTTTCAAAATTTTAAATTAAGAATCAAGTTTCTGGAAAAAATTGACCGTTTAATTCCAGAGCAAAAGCAAAGAATAACGATTCGAAATATGAATTTCATATTTCGTTAAGGCAGAGAAAAATGAGAGGAAGTACACAGTACCGCCGCGCCGCAACGGACGTGGGCACTGGTGTAGCCTACAAAATTTGTTCCCAATAAAGTGTACCATTACAAACATCGGACAAACCGAACTAATCATTCGATCTCAAATTCTAATAAAATCGATCCGATCTAAATAAGATATTTATAACCCGTAAAAAAGTATATGTAATTTTAAAGATATTTAAAAAAGTATATGTGTGTGTGTGTGTGTGTGCGTATGGCGCGTGTGCGTGTGTGCGTGCGTGTGTATGTGTACACAAATTATTGTAAATTTCCACGATATTACCAATATGAATTATGTATCCAACTTCTTTTTTCTCTGATAACGATATCTCGGAATAATTATTATGTACGTCATTTATATTTGTCCGAAGGTTTATTTACGTTGAAATAACGTGTATTTGTATATTTACAGCTAACTTTCGACGTAGAGCCGACGCTAATGCAATGTCTCGTCCGAGGGTTTCGACACGATATCTACATTAGCATACAGTATGGGTGGCATTAACGCACCGTGCGGTTGTGTCAAATGAAATTCATGTGCTTTGTCGCGGTTTCAAATGTAGCCAAAACGAAGTGCCAACTTTGTGGAACGTCGGTCGATAAAATGCGATATATAAGTGTGACATATAATGACAATATGTGAATGTAATGGTGATATTTTTACGTGTTAGTACAGATTGCGTACTTGATAGATTGGATACAATTGGATTAGATGCGATTTGATTTGAATGCACATAATATGCAGAAATGTATAAAATATCCAAAGTACTGTATCCTTTATGATACTTAATAGATAAACAACTTTTTATGCAAGTTTCAATTTCATAGTTATATTTTTCGCAGCTTACTTATAACGCTAATCAATTCTCAATTTCTAAATTATTTTCTATCGCATAAACTACCCAATTTAATGATAATGCCTACGAAAAGTCCACTATAAATTACAGCAAAATTATAACGCAAATAGTAATATATCTACAAATAGTAACATTTGTAATATTAATAATAATACAGCTAAAAATTATAATACCAGTAGTAAAATCTATAGATGGTAATATTTATATTATCCAACTATTCAACTTTATAACTCCAATAGTAATAGCTAAAAATTATAACAAGATTATAGAGCAGATTTCGAAAACAAAAGATTGGAATATCGCTATTCATGTATAACAAGTGTGGTTAAAAGAGAGACAAAGAGAGAGAGAGAGATATACGGGGGGGGGGGGCGCTGCATACATACATACATATACACATACATATCTATATATCTATATATATATATATATATATGTATGTTGAGCGAACGCTCCCGCGCTTCTGTAAAATAAACGTCAGCTGATCGTGATTTTAATGAAAAAGAACGGTATGTGAAAATAAAACTTACGAATAACGTTGGGACTGATACCTCATCGATATTTATCAAATTCAAATTTTACACGATTATTCTAATTACATGCATATCCTTCTGGACATTTTTACACTTTAAAATCTCTTATAATTGCATAGATATATGCCATCTATTTATCGCTGGGTGCCATTTTACAAGTTTCGATCTTGTATCGAATTGTATCAAAGACGCAGCCATCAAGAAGAATCGATACGTCTTCGATACTTATACGAAAATGTCAATATCTATTTAATAGCTCTATTAATCCATTAAGGACCAAAGTCGCGATAACGCCACACACATTTTATTTGTAATTTCTTCTTAATCGATTTACATTATTGGATTCTATTCAATTTACACTACCGAATAGGCATTTTAATTGTAAAAAAAAACTTCACAAGTTATTCAATAGTTTCTTCGTTACTATCTTTTGTCCCATTTAGGCCCCGCAATTTTATCAAATTTAAAGAAACTGAAATGCTTCACAACGCTATAATAAACTATCTTTCTAACATTACCAAATTCTTTTTGTAACTTCGATTTGTGTAATGGCTTTTGGTAATGTATTCAGTATTCTAATACAAATCTTTGTTACTTGGCAAAACGATAATTTACTTTATTTATGCTTTTCTAAATAACCTAACTGTAAGCCGTGCTAAATGCTGAACACGATCGCAACACGATCGAGTATTTCATCATCGAAACTGCGGAATTTTTGGGCAAAAGAGCTTAACTTTTTAGCTTCTCGGTTTTTTTAACTTTCTTGGCCGTAAGCAAAAGGTTATGTTCATACATCTTGGGGCACAATCATACCGGGTAAAATCGGCATATAAAAAATTACGAACAACCATTATCCGCGATACTGACATTCTCTGGTTACTAGTAACCATCGTCCATGACTCTCGAAAATTGTCTTTCGATCTTTCGATTTCTAATAGCTGGAAAAGTTTACACCGTTTCTTCCCTCTTTTAGTTGTAGAGTACGATAACTAATTAAAGGGTAATTCGATATTAAAAAAATTAATTTTATCCTGTACGTAACCAGTAAACTGTTCCGTGGTCGGTAATGATCGTAGGTAACTGAAAAAGAATACATATCCGTCATGGATAATGGTTGAATGGTTACCATTGGTAACCAAACAGATCGTAATCATTTATAATGTTTATTCACGATGAAAATCATTCAAACTAACATATCGATCGTTATGCTACAACTTTCTTAGCTTGAATCACAAGTGTTACGATAACTGTCGTCTGCGACTTTGCATGGATTTTCCATACACTTGTTCGAATCGAATTGTTAGAATACGAGAAACGCGTATTGCATCTTGTTTGCATCGGTCCCATCGTTACTCGCGTTACTCGCGTATTAATCGTGGAAATGACGATCGCCGGCAGGCGG